TTTTTTATATTTGTGTCATTTTAAGAAGAAGTTGCTAGAATGCCTGAAACATTTGGAGCAGGACAAGGCTGTTGACTGTATTCTGTACCACAGACTGTACCCAGGGGAGGCCACACCTAGTCTGTATGGTTTACCTAAAATCCACAAACAAGGTGTACCTTTAAGACCAATTGGTTAACTCTGTCAATTACAATGTTTCCAAATATCTGCGTCTGTACTCATCCCTTTAGTTGGCAGCTCAGAACACCACATACAGAACACCATGGACTTTGTGGACAAGGTGAGGGATGTCATCATGGAGACTGATGAAACAATGGTCTCTTTTGATGTCACATCACTCTTTACGTGCATTCCTGTTGATGATGCAGTAGAGGTGGTCAGTTTAAAATTAAAATCAGACACCACTCTGAGCAGCAGGACCACGCTTTCCACAGAACAACTGTGTCAACTCTTGAAACTGTGCCTGCAGTCAACCTACTTCACATATGGGGAGCAATATTATAGGCAGATAAATGGGTGTGCTATGGGGTCTCCAGTTTCTCATATTGTTGCCAACCTGCACATGGAGGAGGTAGAAAAGAGCCTTGAAGTCCTTTTCAGAGACACCACCAAGTCACTGGTTTAAGTTTGTTGATGACACCTGGGTTAAAATTAAATTTCAGGAAGTCCAACATGGGCAGCACGGTGGCGCAACTGGTAGAGCTGCTGCCTCTCAGCGAGCAGGTCCCTGGTTCAAACCCCGGTCCAGGGGCCTTTCTGGGTGGAGTTTGCATGTTCTCTCCGTGCATGCGTGGGTTTTCTCCAGGTACTCCGGTTTCCTCCCACAGTCCAAAAACATGCATGTTAGGCTGATTGGTAACTCTAAATTGTCCCTAGGTGTGAGTGAGAGAGTGAATGGTTGTTTGTCTCGTTTGTCTCTATGTGGCCCTGTGATGGACTTGCAACCCGTCCAGGGTGTACCCCGCCCCTCGCACAGTGATTGCTGGACATGGGCACCAGTGACCCCCCGTGACCCAAAATGGAATAAACGGGTAAAGATAATGGATGGATGGATGGAAGTCCAACATTTTACTGACCACATCAACTCTGTGGATAAATACATCAAGTTCACACAAGAAGATGTAAAAAATGGCAGGTTGGCTTTCTTGGCCTGTGAAGTCAGTCTTCGATGGACGACATTTAGGAACTGAGGTGTACCGCAAACCCACCCACACATACCAGTATTTGCAGTTTGACTCCCATCACCCTTTGGAGCACAAGTTAGGAGTCATCAGGACTCTGTACCACAGAGCAGACAGTGTCCCCACTAACTCAGGAGCCAGGCAGAAGGAGAAATCCCACACAAGACAGGCCCTGGAGCAATGTGGATATCCTAACTGGACCTTCCTGAAAGCAGAGAAGAAACCCGAACAGGACTCCTGTCAGCCATCAGGTGAAAAGGAGGAACCCAGACCCAGACCAGTGGTCATTCCATATGTTGAGGGAGTATCAGAGAAACTGAGACGTTTATTTTCTAAACATAACGTCCCAGTGGCTTTTAAACCCCAAAATACATTACGGCAAAGACTGGTTCATCCCAAAGATCCAGTCCCCCGGCACAAACAGAGTAATGTTGTGTATGCTGTTCAGTGTCAGGAGGGCTGTGATCAGTCTTACATCGGGGAAACAAAACAGCCACTGGCCGAAAGAATGGACCAGCACAGAAGATCAACAACATCAGGCCAGGACTCTGCGGTCTACACTCATCTCCAGGCCAGCGGTCACTCTTTCAGGGATGAAGATGTTCACATCCTGGATATAGAGGAACAATGGGTTGTGAGGGGAGTGAAGGAGGCCATCTTTGTAAAGAGAACCCGTCTATCTTTAAACAAGGTGGAGGCCTCTGTGTTCAACTGTCCCCCTCTTCCAATGCTGTTATTGCTAGTATCACTCAGCCCTCTGTGAATAGCAAACAGCCATCAGGGCACTAATGATCTGTCGTTAGGCTGATGTCCTACTTTTGCATGTGAACAACTAGTTTTGGATGCCACCAGCAAACTAGTTGATCCATTATGAGAAGGTGCTGTTTGTAAGACTGGTTGTTGCAGCTCCTAAGACTGAAGAAGTCTTTTGGATAAAAGATGAAAAGTTTTATCAAAGAAGAATCCGTCCAGAGGACCTGACTCAACCTTGTTAGATTCATCTACCTGGATATAAAGCATGCATCAGGATACTTGTCATTTTGCTTCTGTCCTTCTTCTGAATTTTTAATCCAAGGTTATTGTTTTAATTGCTGTTTGCTGAAAGTGAGTGTATTAAAACTTTCTCAGCTAAATCTATTTTGCTTCACTTATAAAACTAAAAAAAAAAAAGATTGCTTGAAGTACTTTAGTACATGTCGACAAGTCAATTAAACATTTGAATTTATCCTATTCCTACCTCAGATCTTAAGATGTTGGTTGTGGTTTAACTGGGAAAAAAATAACCCAAAGGTGGTAAATCACTAGGCTGCAAATGCAAACACCGTTCATGAGGGAGCCTCCAAAATGTTTTGCCACTTACACAGGGGTGTCCTCTTCCTCACGTGAGTCGCAGAGGCGTTCAGTTTAGTTGCTTGACTTTTAAACATGTTCAAAGAAATTGTGACAACTTTTCTTTTAAAAATAGATTTTCAACACACCCCCCCCCCCCCCCCCCCCAAGAGCACTGGAGCTGTTTTTTGTTTTTACCCCAAACATGAGTTCTTCTATGACAGAAAGCAGGTCTAGAAACGTTGCTGATGATACTTACAACAACAACAAAACTAGTCCAGATCTGCTCATTTTCATTTTGTACTCCAGATTAAATCATACATGTGGGGGTGGCTGCCAAGGCGGGTATGATGTAGGCAGAGATAGACTACAAAACAATCTGAATAGCCATAAAAGCAGTTTCTTAAGCTGTGCATACACAAATAGGACATTATTTATTTTTTTTTAACTGGCTGCTCAAAATGTAGGTTCATGGATTGCTGGTCACTTGATCACAAACACTCAGAAATCAGAGCGACTGAAAAGAAAAAGATTCACATATTTCCTTCAAATTTTCCTGTGATACACCAACAAGTCTCCCAACAGCAGTGCGATACCACCTTAAGGTCACAAAATAATGATATTTTTAAAGGAGGCTTCAAACCCTCTGTGAAACCAGCACCTGATTTGGTATTGCACCAAGCTGAGAAAATTTCAAGGGTCTAATGGGGAAAAAAAAACAAGTGAAAAGTCAAGCATGTATCACAGAATTTTATTTTATTTTTATTTTTTTAATTACATTTTGCATTAAATTAAAGTTTGTTTTTCTTTACAACATACAATAGGTTGTGAATCAGATGTTAAGGAAGTGGAAAGAGTAGGGCAAAAAACTTTGTGACATCACAATATATTACAAGCTTACAAAGTTCAAAAGTTTGAAAGGTTGATGAGAGAGTTGATTTGCATCTAATAGCAGTGAATTATAACAAGGGTGAAAGACAAAAAGGCACACACTAAAGAACCTCACTGTCCACAGCAGCCTTCACAGTCTACCCCAAACCAGCCTTTAAAATCTTTTAACCTTATTCTGATATCAAAAAGATTCAAGCTCCAGAACCTTAAAAGCCCTGACAGCTAAACTCACATGTCTACACAGGATGTGGACATTTCAGAACTGGTTTTCCAGTTCACATTCTGTGTTGACATCATGACTTTTCCAGGCAAGGACCATTTAATTCAAGAAATGTTCAGCTGTCAGTATTATTCCAGACCTATGGAAGTTTTAGGTTGGTGGACATTGGCAGGTAAAACAATTTTCTTGTCCTAAAACACACACTTTCAAGCTAATCTTGGGCCGCTTACATTGCTTTATTTAATGGATAGCTTTTCTTAAATGCCCTCAGACAATGTTTAAAATTGAGAACTTTTAACTGGAGCTTAGCATTTGTCAAGTGTAGAAATAAAACCAGATGTGAAAATCTGCTGCCTCAGTACCAGGAACACAGATGTGGTGAAATGCATCAGTTTGTATTAGAACACACAATTAATCATTGAGTGAAGTTAAAACTTTAGACAAAACTTATTCCCAGGAGAAATAATTTCTAAATGAGCCATTGTAAGATGGCCGCGCTCAGAGCAGTTGCAGCTTCACAGGCTCCCGGTACCATCCCAGTTTTTAGAAGTTTTGATATTGACTCTGTGCCTGACTCCGCGCGATTTATGCGTGTGAACTATAGCCTGGGACCTTGTGTACATAATTTCGCTCCACCACATGTACCCCATGAGGTGCGAATGACAATAAAGAAACTCTGACTCTGACTCTGACTCTCTGTAAATATCACAATTTTTACATTTCTTCAACAGAAAATAAACTACAAACAATACTATTGCTGTTGTTGAATTTTCCGGCTTGAAAATGCAATAGACAGTTTCCAAACTCTCGTTTCACATCTGTTGGTGTGGTTAATAAAAGCTACTCCATTTAGTTTAAAAATACCCAGCTCAATACACCTGATGAGTCCAACATTATTGCAAATCCATGCACATGGCTGACTAAACCAAGGGAACTGATTTCCTTTTTATTTCAACACCTGACACTCGCCAAGCTCCATACTTTTACCTTGGCTTGTGCTTTCAGCTAATATTCCATGGCCCATTGTTTGCGACTGAACCCTGCAAGCATCACATATAAATAAGTCCCAGAACCTACATGTCCCACTTGTTTCAGCTGTGGATTCAGACATTGTTGGCTTTCTTCCATTAAGAAACAGAAAAATTGCTTCATGTCAATAAAACTGTGACCTTTCAACACATACGACACTAGGAGAGTGCTCCACTGATTTAAGTGTTCAGGTGAAGGGTAGAAGTGATCAATAAAAGTTTCTAAGTAAAAATAAAATAAAGCAGAAAGGTCATTTTAGATATTAGTCAAGGCCTTAATAATGAGAGTTGTGAAGTAAATTTAAAAAAAAGCATCTAAACTTTTTCAAATTGATTTTTTGTTTCATTGCAAAAAAGGGAGTTAAATAAAAAAAAAACGATGTTTATTTTATAATGCCAACTTTTTTATTTAACAGGAACCAGCCTGTTATTGCAACCGCCTCCCAAATGAATGGTTACATGTAACCTTAAATTAGTTCTTTAGGGTCTTATGAGTATCTCATACGGTGAGTTTGCTACAAATTCACCTTGGCCTTCTTGACAAATAACAAATGTTAAGTTTCAGTTTTTCAGTCAAATGACCATCACGCCAAATGAACACCAAAACAAGTAGAAACAAACACCAGGACTTTTAGCTCGTATAAAACAGAAAATCAAAAACACGACGTTTTCATCAACACTCCAGCACAACAGAAAGGGCTGCTTTAAGCGCATTAATGGCACAATCAGAAATGAACCACAAAGATGTTGTGTGTTACGTGTGTGTGTGTGCATGTGTTTATTTGTAAGAAAGAAAAAGACTGTGTTTTAATGTCTATGGACCAGAATTACAACAATAACACCTACATTCTTTAAAATGTATTTTTTTTTCCTTTTATCAAACCAGGGAAATAACATGACGTAAGAAAATAATAATAATAAAAAAAAACACAACAAAGACACAAAGTTAACAGCTATTAAAGAAAACATTGTCACTACTTGAGGGTGTAAGGCACAAATTTACATGTGGAGACAGAAGCAGGCAGTACAGATGTTTTCTTTGTTTTCGTTTGTCGCCTGCTCGTCTGCGTGACGCCACCGGACGTAACGGTATGTTCCGACGAGGGAGCATCGTTCGGTTTGCTTGCAGCCTCACCCACAGCATCGTTTTGAAAGTCTATCCTCTGAATCCTGCACTGTTGCTGCAGCTGCTTTTCTTATTTTTTGCAACATGCAACAGTGAGCTTTGATGGCACCAATAAGCCGCTCAGGACAAATGTTTCTGACGCACACAAAAAACCACAGTGCTGGTTGGGGGTGGGGTTCTGGTCGGAGGAGTGAAAAGGTGAGATTCAGGTCTTTTTTTTTTTTTAATGATTGGTCTGAAACTATGGAGTCTGTAAAAATGAAAGTCAGGACTGGCACAGTTTCAATAAATATCTCCTTCGCATCACAGAGGTCATGTACACCTCAAGCAGGTCCCACTGATCACACAGTAAGACCTTTATGGACCTTTAGTCACTGAGAAAGTTCTACTGGCTCCAGTTTAATGACTTTAAATATTTCTCCTCACTTGAATAATTAAAATTAAAAGATTTCTTCTTTGTCTTCTCTCTGTCCGAGCCTAGAAAGTCAGTTTGTTTTTATTTTTATTTTTATTTTCTTAAAAGCACTTAATAAAAATAAATACAACAGGCTATTAGTATTAACAGTCACATGATATTTAGTTACCATTACAATAGAAGATTCTTCTGGCCAGGCTTTCGGTAAAACCCAGGCAGGTCTTGATTGCTGTAACACTGAGATGCTTTTCACAGTTTCCAACAGAAATCAGGGAGGTGCCTGTCCTTTCAGTCCATCTCTCTGAGTGCCCCTCCACTCAGATTCTTCAGTCATCAAGGTACTGTACAACTATTATTCTCCATGCTCTGCCACCCTGCATGTCATCTTCTTATGTGCTTTTATTGGCCTGATAAAGTACCAAGTCAAGCTATGGCAGCCAAAGACGCGACAAACAAGAGAGCCACCGCCTTGAATGCTACAAGGTGCCAAAAGGATGAAATATTCAGTACAGGACTTGTCTTCTTTTTCAGTAGCACACGGTCCCATTTTGTTCACAAACAAAGTGGGAAGCTGGTCAGAGCATGAGCTCAATGACAGGGACAACAGACAACAACCAGTTTATATTTACATATTTATATCAAAAGGAGGGTTTTCTAGGAGGGGGAAATGTGTTGAATTTTCCACCACAATGTACACCAAAAACATAAACAAACAAATAAAAGCACTGAAGGAGATGCAAGTTGTACAGTATTCCCTGTTTTTTTTTTTCTTTCTTTCAGAAAAATACCTTTCACTTTTGTGTGTTCACATTGGACTGATGGACTGAAGGCTGACTATGTGCCAGAGTCACTGGACTTGACTTTTGTTGACAGTGAGACTACAGAAGGTTTTGGAGGGACATCAGGCTTAAGGTATTTGATGCCTGTTCGAGGCAGTGAGCCATAGGAGATCACTCTAGGCTGTCGCGATAGTGATATGCCCTGTGCTGTCATTTGTATAGAGTCCACCCTCTGGGGTGCAGGCGGTGGTGTCTCCACACGGAAGCTGTGATGCCTCGCCATATGGGAGGAGTTAGATGAGTTGGTGTTATGCTTCTTCAGGGCAGAGGATCCAGACGCAACAGATGCTGATCCTTTTCGGAGGGCGTAGACCGACGAGTGGACCTCCAGGCGTTTTCCCATCTGTGGGACGGCAGGAGGGATGGTGAGAGACGCCTCTCGTTGGGGCACACGAGGTGGCAGCCCCCCATCTGGATCCACCATGTGGCTTTTTGCTGTCTTGTACTCCAGCGTGGCCCCCTGGTCATCCATGATGCCATGGCTCAAGCTCAAATCACTATGATGGGGCTGTTCCACATACTCATGCTGGTAGGATTGCTGCAGATGAGGCTGAAGTTGGTGCTGATGCTGCGGCAGAGGCAAGACTACCACACTGGGAATGTGTCCAGGTGAGGCCCTCAGGGGCAGGTCTGTTGAGATGACAGGGGAGCCCATAGGCGGCATGTCCTTGGTGCAAGCGTTGATGAGGTTCTGATTTCTTTCCCACTCACGGCTTCCCCGGCTGGGTTTACGACGTGGCTGCATGGGTGTGGACTCAGGTGTTGGCAGAGCAGCAAGATCCAGGTGGTGCTGGTCAGCTTTTATCAGCATCTTCCCATTTGGTGTCAGTCGCCCGTTGTGCATCAAAGGGGTGAGGATGGCTTCCGGGCGACCATCTTTGGCCTGCGTTTCAAACAGACCGGACAGCTTGGTCACACTGTTCATTGATCCTCTGCGGGAGTGAAGGTGGAGGCTGTCCTTTTCTTTGCGACCTGTCAGGTCCAAATCTCGCCGCCGGTGGTCACACACACAATAGACAATGAGGCCTGAGAAGATGGCTCCCATTGCAAATGCCAGGATGACAGCTATGGCCAACAGGGTCACAGGAACCAGCTGATCACGACCCTTCTGGTAGCTCTCACGGATCACACCTACGGAGAGACATTTACAAATGGCATTGAGACTGGCAGAAAAAAACAAGCAGAAAACCTCGTGGGCGTTTTGTAAGAGAAAGATATCTGTGGAGAATTATCTGTATTTGACTAATCTAAAAGTAGAAAACATGACTCATTCACAACGATTAAAACATACGGTTTGTTCTGGGAATAAAACAGATTAGAGATTGAAATCATTTTATGAAAAACATGCAAATGAATGAAGATTGATCCCATTAACTGGTATTCATAACAACTACAAATGGTTGCCTGAAGTAGCAAGATTCAATATTTCCCAAAGACACAATCTTGGACTGAAAACGCTTCAGAGGAGTGATTAGGATTCTCATTTTAAATCCCAGATAAAACCTTCTGCTGAAATGAAAAAGATAAGAGAGCAGATAAAGAGCCAGAAATACTCTTTCTTCTCATTGATACAAATGTGAAACGTTTCAAAAAGCTTGGATGCAATTTCACGATTTCCAGAGAATACATTAAAATGCCTCTGATTAGGCTTAAATCCAACGAGCTGTGTCAGAGTTTTTCAAAGCTGTCACTGCCAAAAAGTGGAGAAGACTCACTGTGATACAGTAAAATAAAATCTAATTAAATTAAAACAGTTGTGACATAATTTATTCACCAAAGAGTTGGATCAACAAGATTACAAATGAAGTGTTATCCACTAAACACATGAAGAACTAAACTCACACACATTTTTGAAAGACTGCGTATAAATGTAGACATCTAACCCAGCTGCATGGTCTTTGGGTTAAACACTCCGTTTCATAGCAGAAAGATTTATTATGCATTCACACATGACCCACAGCCAGCACAGATCAGTAACTGCAGACAGAGGATTAGACAGGTGGACTTCATCACAAAAAAAGGCAACCACAGCACAGAGCTGGTCTCGAGTCACATGTGAACAGCTCTCGTTGTCCCGCACCAGGCAGGACATATATCACTGTGGGGAGTAAACACATGAAATATTTCTCAAATTCCTCTGTGCATGCTTTCTGTCTCCCAAGGAGATCATTAAAAACATATAAAACTGCAAGGACCTTTAACATTTTAAGTAGGGATGCACGATATTGGATTTTTGGCCGATATCCGATATGCCGATATGTTAAACTTATTTGGTCTGTAAACGATACAAATACCAACATTTTTTTTTACCTAGCCCTACTTACAGAGACTACATAGATTTCTTTGCTGTGGAGTTAAAATACTACATTATTCTGCACGGTCTTTGTCAATTTGGCTTGTTACCAAATGCAGATGCCAAAAAGGGGGCTGAAAATGATGTAACACTTCAAACTTGTTTTATGTTTAATGTCAAATTTATTCATGACATTTACTCTCTCTAACACAATGACAACACCTGAACAGTGCAAATTTGTAAATTTTCACAAATCTAAACTCAACGGCACATGTCGTGTCATAACGTTGTGCTAACGCTGCAGGCGTCCTTGTCACTGGGTTGTCATACAAAAACAGTGCCATATATATATATATATATATATATATATATATATATATATATATAAATATAAATATAAACAGTGCCTTATATCGGTGAGTTATTTTGATGGAATGGCCAATGGTCAATATTTAACTTTATCGCTAATATCGGCCGATACCATGCCAATAATATCGTGCATCCCAAGTCAGTTTGCATGGTGTGATTGTTAAAGTTAGGTGAATAATCATAAGTATATGTCGAAGCTAATTTAATAATTTAATCGTCATGACAATAACGACTTTTTACTCAGGAAAGTTTAGAGAAAATCTAAAAAGTTAAGTCAGGTCCTCTGGACGGGTTCAAAAAACAAAAAATTGTAGAAACATTTCGTCTTTCAGCCGAAAGACTTCTTCAGTCTGAGGAGCTGTATTCAGCTCTTTTTGAACCCGTCCAGAGGACCAGACTTAACGTTTTTAGATTTTTCTGCCTGGATTATTGAGCATGCATCAGGATAGTTTAGAGAAAAGCTCAAATAAGCAGGAGGGAGGTGATGCAACCACATTTATTAACTAGCAGTTTATATTAGGGTGGCAAAACTGGTACTTTGTGTTATTATTTGTCTGAGAAAAGTAAGATCTTTAGGCTTTTGTCATTTTTCAAAGAAAATATTTTCTATATGAATTTACAGCAGACCTAATTTTCTAACCTTTACAGATTTATGAACTTTTGTCTTGTTGCACTTTTGCTACACAGTAAGAGTAATAAGTGATGATTGTAACAGTCAGTTATTGCCATAGAATGTGTTTCAGCTAAAAATGATAATGTATTCAAATTGTTTAGTCTTGCACAGCCAGATCTATCTTTGGTGTGTTTTGTCTGCACAGAAGAATAATCTTGCTGCACAGCTTCCACACTCTGCTACAGGGGAAACAGAGAAATCTTTCTTTGGTTTCCTTCTTCTACATCAACAAGACAACAGATTTTATGCTGCGCTAATGGCACAATATGGTTTTGGCTTTTAGTTTCCCTTAAAAATCACAGTTTAATTGTTTTACAGATGTTTAGCTGGAAAATAGATTTGGATACACTGAGGAGGATATTCATTTTGGCAGAAGTGGGCTAAATATCAACAGCCTCATTGTATTAGTTTTGATGTATACTTCACTTTACCAAGATATTATTGTTGTTGACAAATACTGTAAAAATGTGCTAAGACTGAATTTCATTTGTTTGCTTGAGCTAAAAAGATGCAAATTTAGTGACTAAATAAGAATATACAACATTTCATACAGGAATTAATGGTGATATAATTTATTAAAATATGTGTTTTAATTAATTGTTTTAAAATAAAAACAATAATAAACATTCTAGACCTGCAGCTGAATTTTACACACACACAAAAATAAATTCAAAAATCCCCAAAACAAGCTTTATAAGTCATATTTTCTAAACTGTAGCTCAGATTTGTTACCATCTGATTCTGCATTTGATATTGTTTCCTAAACAACCAGTTCAGAAAGTCAACATCAAACTTATTTGGATGTTCCTAATCTAAAAAAAAAAAAATCATTGGGCAAAGTATTTTATGTCATGCTTTCTCAGAGAAGTTGATGCTGAACAGCTGATAGTTTATTTAAAGTCAATTAACAAACCAAACCTAATACCAAAAAAGTCCATGCTCAATAATCCAGGTATACAAGCCAAACATTTTCAGTCATGTCATCTGGACAGTTTATTTCTTTTTTTTGCTGAAACATTTCACCTTGCATCCAGAAGGCAGTCCAGAAAAAAGAAACTGCCCAGATGCCATGAATGAAAATTTTTGGATCGTATACCTGTATTATTGAGCATGGACTTTGTTGTTTTTGAACCAGTTTGACATGACTGTCGACGAGGGAGGGGGCCGTAACCGGAGGAGGGTGCGTGCCAAAGAGACCATCTTAGAACCAACATAACTGGTTTGTTCCTCTTTGGAGTAAGCTGTTGGGGGAAGATTCAGTTTTGTGTTGCGTGCTTCCTTGATTGATGAAGCCTTCTGGATGGAAGGACATGTTTCAGCAAAAAAATAAAAAAGACACTGCCCAGAAGACATGACTGAACATTTTTGCAAACCTAATACCACTCGTGATTTTCCCATTAAATTTCTCATCACACACAACGATGGTGTGTTTTCTGAGTTGCATTTTTATACTTCTGAAATCCAGAGAATATAAAACTAATCTCATAAAGGGATATGTCAGGCAGGAAAAAGGCATGCGACAAAAATACAGTAATATTTAGTGTTTAAGACAGTTATCACCATCTTGGGTGGCATTACTTCCAGCAATGGTTTATTTTGCATCAGAGGACTTGTTTCTGTGGAAGCGCTGGATAAATAAAAAGTGAACAGTGGATAGGTTATAAAACAATGTTTGGTTTTTAAGCTCATTTGCGTCACAGATGATGTACTCACATTATCTCCTCTCTGGGTCTCCTCAGTGAGACAGAACACAGACAGCTGGGTGATCTGTTCTCATGAAGCTGAGATCCTGACTCACTTAAACCAACATCCATAATCCTCTCTCACTTCAGCTGCACTTCATTAGTCCAACAACTGGACTTTTAAAGCCCTTTTCCTCCGAGCTAAAATAAATCACTGAGTACTTCAAGGTCTGTCTGGACTTTTTTTAAAAGAGCTGTTATGATCAATCCTCATTTACTGTAAAAGCTAAACTTTTTTAATGGCAAAAGTTGTTTATTTCCAAAGATGTGCCTCGGTGTGTGGATGGTATGAGAAGTGATGAGCCATTGGGCTTTGACAAGTGTTACGCCGTGAACTTACACGACCACATGACCTGCCTGTCGGACAAAACATCTGCTTCCCGTCACATGCGCTAACATCTGAGAACGAGAAAGATACTCTCCTTCGCTGCTATCTTTATACTTTGTTGACCTTACTCGCTTAGATCTTTATTTTCCTCAGTTTTCCTCGGCGTTTGACTTTCTTCAGGCTTCAGAGCGTTTTCTTTCAGCCTCAGCGTGGTGTTTTATTCAGTGGAAACTCGGAGGGCTGTAATTACAACCATGTGGTCTTTGTGAGTTATCATCCTTTGGCAGAAAGGACAGTGGTCACAGCGGTGAAGGGTGATGTTTGAAGGCTGTTGGGTTAAATATTTCAGCTAAAAAAATAAAATAAAAAAAATGTGGAGGAGGAATTCAGGCTCACTTGATACAAGAAACCTGGGGAATCTCCATAACCCAAATGGAAAATGAAAGTAGGAGCATAAATATAGTTTGGCAGGTCTCTCATTCCTTAATTGGTGTTGTTAACTCATTTGTCGCTGTCTTTTCGACAAAGGTGCTGAAAAAACATGTCAAAACTGGTACAAGCTGTCATGACAATGAATATTGTTACTGAAGGTTCTTCAACACAGCATTTGGATTTGACATTATAGAAAGCTGCAGGGCTGTTGAGTCAAATAGATGTCCGCTTTGGTACAGGAGGTGAACTGACGGGCTGGATATTTAATTTCGTCTTTGTGTATGAGAATAGGTG